TCAGCTTCTATGTTGTTGAGACTTGAGAAGCAGCACTAGGGCAGTTTTAACAGCGCCGTATATATAAGCTATCTTGTTGTGGCTGAACTTTCATACTCTGATATGACGAGCATGTGGAAATTCTCATGTGACATCAAAGGCTCCTCATTCATAACTAGTTCATTGACTTTTTGTAAAGCTTTCACCTGATGCTTTTATTGGTTGAGCTGGATGCTTAATGCTACTATGGATTATCTTGTGATCAGCTCATCTTGACCAGTATGATAGGAAAAGAGCAAGAAAAATGTTTGTCCAATCATGCAGGATTGTTTTCTGATTGTGTTCATGAGAAGCATGTTGGAGATTGCCTGAACCACACATGTATGAGCTTGTAAATTTTTTATTGTGTGTTTGTGTTTTTTCCGTATAAACACACATTAAGGAGCCAATTATCTGTTTAACAACAAAAATTATCAGATTTATCATCTTGTGTTGATCATTAGGACACTTGAAGCAGGGGGGCATTGGTGACGATACATACAGTTCATCCTCCCCTTGCATGATTTAGATTATTACGATTCTGATATAATGAGCAAATTTTTTCTTTTGGCTGATACAAATAAGTTTGCATATATGAGTCATCCTCGGATCTTATATTAAGGAGTCATTATGAATTAAATCTTTTTTTTCATACATCTTGGAATCTTGAAAAAAAAGAATTGCCATTCACCAGATATTAAACACCAATTTGGGAAGGGAAGTTGGAAAATTATAATGCTTTTACTATTTGTAAGTTCATACACAAACAATTTCCAAATCATGAATTGGACCTTTTTTAATAACAAAAGGTGGATGGGCAGCGTAAGTTTCATTCTGATACTGAAATAATATATTTTTATATAATAAAAATAATATTTATCAGATCCATTTACAGAAGATTAAGGACTTCAAATTTCATCAGACATTTTTCTTTAGAAAAAAAAAACAGTATTTGTGCCACACCATAGGCTAATTAGGGAGTATCGTATGTAGTTAAATCTATAAGTATAGGTTAATTATGGATTATCCCGTGTAGTTAAATCTTTTTAGCATCTTGATGAAGACTTTAAAAATTTATATTGAAATTTCTATAATTATGAAAGTGAAATATAGGTTCATTCATCGTAACATCGTTGGTTTCACCGATAAAAATATAAAAACAATGGGTTTAAAAAGTAATTTTAATGTTTTAATTGGTGGTAACGACGAATGACAATACCGCTAGGGGCCGTGGGTGGCTATTGTGGATGAATTACATTTGCGTCGACACCAACGCAACTACCAACTGGTGACGAGTGATCCTTTCGCTATTCTACATTTACGTCGATGCCGACATAGTTGTCGAGCGATGATGGGCCACACGACATTTGCATCGACATCAATATAAATGTAGAGCGACATCGCTTTACATCGCGCCACTCGATGCGGTGAGTGGTCCTTTCGTCACTCGATAAATGCATCGACGTCGACGTAGTGACAACCCTTTCACTGCTCTGCATCTACGTCGGCATCAACGTAGTTACTGAGCAACGAAATGACCACTCACTATGTCGACGTCAATGCAATTGCCAAGCAATGAAAGGACCATCACTATGTCGACATTAACACAGTTATCGAGCGATGAAAGGGCCACTCGACATATGCATCGGTGCTGACACGGATGCAGAGCAACACTGCTCTACATCTGTGTCGACACCGATGCAGATGCTGAGCAATCTTTTTGCCACTCAACAACTACGTCGATGAGTGGCCCTTTTGTCGCTCAACAATTACGTCGATACTAATGCAGTGAACGACCCTTTCTCCGCTCTGCATATACATCAACATCGACGCAGTTACCGAGTGACGAAAGGGTTGCTCAACATCTACATCGATGATTCTTTCGCACGCTCGATAACTGCGTTAACGCTAACGTAAATGCAGAGCAATGAAAGAGTTACTCACTACGTTAGCATTGACATAGTTGCTAAGCGACAAAAGGGTTGCTCAACATCTGTATCGATGTCGCTTTGCATCTATATCGGTGTCGATGCAGATGTCAAACGTCAACAATCGTGTTAACATCGACACAATGAGCGACTCTCACCTCTCGTCAACGATCTCCTCAACCATAACAGTCATCCGCGGCTCTCAACGACGTTGTCATTCGCCACCACCAATGATAATGATTAAAATTATCTTTTGACTTATTATTTTTATGTTTTTGTCAACAATATTAGGATAAATGGACATAGATATTTTACTTACACAACTATAAAAATTTCAATATAAATTTTAATATTATTTTTATGCCAAGGAGGTCTAATTATAAAGTATATAATCTATAATTAGCCCGCATCACTCACTGTAAGTCTAAAGAATTCGGATTCGATCTGACTCTATCACTCACCTGATCCAACCATCCAACTTGTTGAACCATCTTGGGCGCCCAACCACGGAAATAAGACCTAATAATGCCCGTGACTTCAAACACCATGACAAGAATATGACTAATGTTCTTCAAACAAAGAAAACGACAACAAAACACAAACAAGAAAATGACTAGTGTTTTTCAAACAAAGAAAACAACGACAACAAAACATTAAAAAATATATATATCAGATAGTTAAAATCTGTAAAAACTTAGATAATTTATCACAACTAGTTAACATCAAAAACCTTAACTCTGTAAAAGAGACAACCTCCCAAAAGTTGGCATTTTTCCTACCATATTCACCACAACTGGTAAAAGAGAAAACCTAAAGCAAAACATGTTCTTAGTCACAGGCACAAACAACAAATACCACATAAAAGATTGGGAACTTTATAAAAGTCCGACAGAGAGAGACATACAGCACTGAGCCATGGAAGTGTAGAACTGACTGAAAAGTTCCATTATATATAGTATGTAGAAGTAACACAAAAAGTTACTGAATCTCACCCTCGAAATTGCAAGGCATCTCAAGTTTTCAGTGAGCAATGCATTCTTGGTTGGTTAATCAATGCTTGAAGATTCTGTTCAGCTAAACAAATCTTGTATTTCCTTTTGACACCTCCAATCGGAATACAGAAATGGCAAAAAGAAAGATACACTGCTAATTTTCCTCGAGCAGCACTCTGGAAAACATATTCTAGGCTCTAGTGTATTGTGTTAATGATTTTAAGGCCATCTGAAAAAGAATTGCCATATCCAAATAGCAGTGACCTTCATAAGCAAACCGTCGATGCTAATAGCAAAACGATTTGTGGTTGCCTATTCGAGTAATCCACCAGAACACAAACAATGCCCGATTCGAATTCAAAGATCAAATTTTTCTTAGTTACCTATGTCCCAGCTATAACAAAATATTATGAAAGATTGAGGCCAGGAAATGAGCGGAAACCAATGTCAAAACACTGCACAAAACCAATATGTGATACTAAATTCTTCATCCCAAAAAAGAGACATTTTTACTAGCATTTATCCATCTAAACATCCAAGTTTCGAAGATCTCACCATCTTCATCATCCGCGGCAATAGGAAGGATCTTCTTTGGAGATACTAATCAGTCGGCTTGGGCCTTAGTGTAGACATATGTGAGGCCGCACTTGCCGCAGTAGTGGCGGTCGAAGTGGTTGGCCATGAATGTGCCCGCGCCACACTCGGCGTTGGGGCACTCCTTGCGGAGGCGGCTGACCTTGCCGGTGGCGTCGTCGACCTTGTAGAACTGGAGGACGGCGAGCTTGACCTTCTTTTTCTTGTGCTTGATCTTCTTGGGCTTGGTGTAGGTCTTCTTCTTGCGCTTCTTGGCGCCGCCGCGGAGGCGGAGCACCAGGTGGAGGGTAGACTCCTTCTGGATGTTATAGTCGGCGAGGGTGCGGCCGTCCTCCAGCTGCTTCCCGGCGAAGATGAGGCGCTGCTGGTCCGGCGGGATGCCCTCCTTGTCCTGGATCTTCGCCTTCACGTTGTCGATCGTGTCCGACGACTCCACCTCAAGGGTGATCGTCTTCCCCGTCAAAGTCTTCACGAAGATCTGCATACTCACGGCGGCCCCGCTGCTAACTAGGGTTAGGGTTCCCTCTCGAGAGAGGCGGCGACGAGGGTCGTGGTCGGCTTCGTCGTGAGAGACGATATTTATAGGGACTAGGCGTCGAAGCGGTGTCCTGTTTCGCAGAAAGATTCCCGCTTAGACTCGTCCGCCTAATCACGCTCCCGCATCTTGCCACGGTGTCGGCATAAAATGGTCCGGTTCGGTTTCCGGGTCGGTCCGAACGGGGTTCAATAGCTACGCGTAATATGATGACCCACCGCTGCGAGGAGTCGCTGCCAAACAACACAGGCAGATGATTAATATGTTCCATGGATACTTAGTTAAGAAGGATAAATGAGAATCCATATTTGACATTCGTTTGGAACGAGTTTAAGTTAACATCTACATTAATCCCCTTTATAAGTGGCGGTAGAGCATTGATATATAAAAAAGTTATTGTCTATATATAACCAATTGATATACGTTAATCGTCATTATTATTGAAATTAATCTTCTCTTTCCAATGTATAAGATATAACAGATGGGAATCCCCATCGGCTAATTTCTTGGGTAACAAATTAACCTCATGCATCTTATCTCCATCAAGCAAGCTGTGTCGTGTCGTCTTCATAACTGCGCCATCGCTCCCTCATCCAACCGATGCCATCATATACTCCATCTTCTCGTTCATAAGCCTCTTTAACCAAGCGAGAACAAGAAGCGAGAAGACACAACATGGATTCCTACCACTTCTCTTCCTTCTTTCTGTGCATGATAACTGGTTTCCTCGTCCTCATCCCTCCTTATTACTCCACAACCCTTGCTTCTGCGGCTGCCGCCACACCACAGCATGCCTCCGAGCCCGGCGCGATCGAGACCGGCGGCAAGAACTACAGCAAAGTGTGCGACGCCGCGAGGTTCGAGGCGCTAGGCCTGCGGAAGGACGACTTCGCCTACTGCGACTCCTCGCTTCCCTACCCTGCCAGGGTAAAGGATCTCGTTGGCAGGATGACACTGGTCGAGAAGATACTCCAGCTCGGAGACCGGGCCCAGGGCGTCGGTCGCATCGGGCTGCCCAAGTACGGCTGGTGGTCAGAAGCGCTTCATGGCATCGCCGTCACCGGCCACGCTACCTACTTCGGCGATGTGGTTCCCGCAGCGACCAGCTTTCCCAACGTCATCCTCGCCGCTGCATCCTTTAACGAGTCGCTGTGGAAGAAGATCGGACAGGTAGCTGTGCATCTCACCTTTTGCATGCTCTACTTCTGCACCATCGCCGCTAAGATCGATTTCATTGGTTGCAGGCTGTTTCCACAGAAGGAAGAGCCATGTACAACTTAGGCCATACCGGGCTGAACTTTTGGAGCCCAAACGTAAACGTCGTAAGAGATCCACGGTGGGGAAGAGTTCTGGAGACACCAGGAGAGGATCCTTTTGTCGTCGGCCGCTACGCTGTAAATTTCGTGAGGGGCATGCAGGATGTCGAGGGGACTGAGAACGTACAGGACTTGGACTCGAGGCCTTTGAAGGTTTCCACATGCTGCAAGCACTACGCTGCCTATGATCTCGACAACTGGTTTGGTGTCTCTCGCCTCCACTTTGATGCCAGGGTAGGGTATCTATCATCTTGCACTAGATTAGCAACGTTCTGAGTGATCTCTGTGATGTCTGGTTCTAATGATCTCACCTGTTTAAGGTGACTGAACAAGACATGGTGGAGACGTTCGTTCGGCCATTTGAGATGTGCGTCAAGGAAGGTGATGCGAGCAGCATCATGTGTTCCTACAATCGCGTTAATGGCGTTCCAGCATGTGCAGATGCCAAGCTCCTTTCTCAGACATTAAGAAATGATTGGCAACTTCATGGGTAAGAACGAATAAGATAGATACTGGTTTTTGTTGCCTTCTCGAGTGAATCTAATGTATCTCTATATATCCCTGTAAACTCTTCAGCTACATTGTCTCCGACTGTGACTCAGTTGAGGTGATGCATGAGCGACTCAAATGGCTCGGTGATACTGCAGAGGATGCTGTCGGTCAAGCCATGAAAGCCGGCAAGTTCAAACCCCTCCCTCTCTCTTTCTCTCTATGTATATACATAATATATGTTCTCTGAACAAAAGCTATTGTATTGTAGGACTGGATTTGGATTGTGGGCTTGGGAATCTGAACTACTACGAGAACTACACCTTGTCGGCAGTTGCTCAAGGCAAAGTGAGGGAGAGCGACATCGACAATGCTCTGAAGAACCTCTACATGGTCCTGATGAGGGCTGGATTTTTCGATAACATAGAGGCTTATGAGAACCTTGGACTGAATGATATTTGCACAAAAGAACACATCCATTTGGCTGCAGATGCCGCAAGGCAAGCCATCGTCCTCCTGAAGAACAATCTAACACTACCTCTGGACCCCAAGAAGTACAAAGATGTCGTTTTGGTTGGCCCTCATGCCAAAGCCACCAAAGCCATGATCGGCAACTACGAAGGTAAATTCATCAAACACTTTAGCCATCCACCACGGTCAACCAGATCGCAGGTGTTTGATCTGGTTCACCGTTGCAGGTATACCGTGTCGATACGTCTCGCCATTGGATGCCATTGCCAAGGATGTCAGAGTGGACTACCATGAGGGCTGTGACGTCCACTGCCGAAGCAGCCGCTCCGTCCGCCCTGCCGTGGAAGCTGCAAAGAAGGCCAAGGCGACCATCATAGTCGCAGGGTTGGGCCTCGAGGTGGAGAGGGAGGAACTGGATCGGAATGATCTCCTCCTCCCTGGTTTCCAGACTGAGCTCATCAACCGAGTGGCGGAGGCCTCTGCAGGTCCTGTCGTTTTGGTGATCATGGCGGGCGGCTGCGTCGATGTATCCTTTGCCCAGAACAATCCCAAGATTGGCGCCATTCTCTGGGCTGGATACCCTGGTCAAGAAGGAGGTCAAGCCATTGCTGATGTGATATTTGGGCGTCACAATCCCGGTATCTCTGTCTCTGTGTTTGTGATGACAAGCTTCATCCAATTTAAGCTTCATGCAATTTGGTTTTACAGGAGGAAGACTGCCATTGACATGGTACAAGAATGAGTACGTAGATGCACTGCCCATGACATCCATGCAACTGCGACCAAATGATCAGTTGGGCTACCCTGGTAGAACCTACAAGTTCTTTAATGGCACTTCCCTCTACCCATTCGGCCATGGAATGAGCTACACCCAGTTTAGCTACAGCAGGAAGAACGATTCCGGTATCTTCCTCCCCATCAAGGTGGACAACCATCACCTGTGCAAGCTGCCCTCCGACAAGGCTAATGCCACAGTGGATTCTCATTGTCCATCGATAAGCGTCGACGCGTTGGGGTGCAAGGAAGAGATAAGCTTCGAGGTGGACGTGACCAACGTCGGCAAGGTCGACGGAGACGATGTCGTGCTGGTCTACTCGAAGCCCCCGAAAGGAGTTGCAGACGCGCCACTGAAGCAACTGGTGGCGTTCCAGAGAGTGTATGTCGAGTCCGGGAAGACGAGCAGTGTGAAGTTTAGCCTAAATGCCTGCAAGGCGTTGAACTTGGTGGAGAAGACGGCATATGTTGTTCTGCACTCCGGCGAGCATGCCATCGTGGTAGGAGATGGTGACTCAGCTGTCTCCTTCCCGGTCGAGATTGAGCTCCAGCTTTAGCTAACATTTGAGCGTGTTTGATTAGATTGTGGTTTGGATTTGTTTGATGGGAGGCTCAGAGATTTAGATTTCTCTTATGAGGATTATCAACCTATTGTTGAATGGGATGACTTCGATTATTCTACCTTTGTGCGTGCTTTAATTGAACAGATCGAATGCCGAGAATGATTATTGTCTGCTTAGAATGCAGAATGCAAACGCATCTTAAGTAGCTAAAATTGAACTGAAATTTGTTTATATGCAGAATTTGATATGAATCAAATCTCTCATTCTTCGTCATCTTTTTCTGTAAAGGCTTCAATCCATCGTCATCTGGAGAAATGGCATGCCTTTGTTCCCCTATAGATCTCATCTTTTCCGTAAAGACTTCAGTCCATCGTCATCCTGAGCGGAAAGGGGTTACCTTTACTACCTCGTTCTTATCACTGACGCAGCCCTTTTCCTCGTCGTGTCATCTGCAAATCTTTCAGGGGTTTATGCATACTTCTTCGCAATTGCTAATGCATAACCAAATCGCACTCGTTAGATTTTTGTCTAATGCGGATCTGATGAGCTCATTCTAAAGTGAATTGGATATGGATGGAGAAAAATAGCGGCTTGGGAGCAAAAGGACATGAGCACAAGAAATAGTCAATCCAAGCATCTTTTGGATGAACAAAATTTTGACTTCCTGTTGACTGCATCATAGAAAGTGTTTGTAAAAGAAAGAAAGAAGCACCAAATTGGATGCCTGCTTTGGACAATAATATAACAAGGCAAAATAAGCCTTAGTACAATGATGAAAATTTTCATTTGTGATTTATATCATTCTATTTATATGAGTAAAAATTATGAACATTGACCTTTTATTGTTTAAAAGTCAACTTACAAAACAAACTATTGTTACCTCCCACAAATAAATAAGAAAATTGCGATGATGTATGGTGAGAAGTACTTGAAAGAATATTGTGATTAGCCATATTGCATGGCTTCTTTTAATGGAAGACATAAAAAGGAAAAAAAAGAAAAGAAAAGCAAGAGAAGAGTACCAGTGGGCAGAAGAAATGACAGAGAAATAAAAAGAGATCTGATAGATTCCTTGGGAGGTGGAGAACAGTGTCACCATTCTTTTCCTGCCCCACTCTTGTCACATCCTGGTTTTTGAGTTATTATATGCTATGGTTTTCCCAGTGGTTTCACCTTTGCTCTGGTTTGGTCTGTGTATGCTTTAAGCTTTATGACACCCTTTCTTTTCTTTTCCTCCATCTCCAGCCTTCTCCTCCTCTACAAAACACTCTCCCCACCTCAGTTTGGCCCTCCCTCATCTCCCTTTCCATAATGCCCTCTTCAACCCCATTTCTTGTAGAGATCAGCTAGAAAAAGAGAAAAGAATCATTCTGCTCTTCCAAATCCCCTAATGGCTGGAGGTGTTTTAGCTAAGAGCTGCTTCTTCACCATCCTTCTTGGACTCCACACTGTTTGCTCTTCAGGTCAGTGCCCCTCCTCTCTTCCATCATCTTCAAATTCCAGTGCTTTAGTACAAGGCATCATATGCAGCCAGTTGAGCTGCTCATTAGCCATAGCTGACAGTCTCTAACAATTTCAAGTGTAGATGAGACTGAAAAATATTAATTGGTATACAGATTTTTCCCTCTTGGTTGCAAGAATGTGTGTGCCCTAGTAAGGAAGGAGAAGAAAGGTACCATTTGTAAGATTGCTAGCATAAGCGGCTCATCATTAGCCATAGTTGAGAGTCTCTGAGAGTTTAAAGTGCAGATTAACACTGAAAATTAACTAATGTTGCATAGATTATTCCCCTTTTGGATCCAGGAATATATGTGGACAGTTTGGAAGGAGAAGAAAGGTGCCATTTTTAAGATTGATTGCATAAGCTGCTCATTAGCCATAGCTGACTGTGTGTGAGAATTTCATGTGTAGATGAACACTGAAAAACAACTGTCATCGAACAGATTCTTATTCTTTATGGGCCCAAGAATATATGTGTGTGGACTGGTTAGAAAGGGGAAGAAAGGCATCATTTGTAAGGTTACATGCACATCTATTTCCATTATTTAGACCATTGTCCTTGTCAGTGATTGGTTCTTCTTTTTCCTTTTGATTTGTGAAGAAATGTTTGATCCTGATGAACCATACGTTGTCCCTGTTCTTGTCCTTCAGGAACCTTGGTGGGGTTCTCCTATGATGCAAGGGAAGAGAGCACTGCCCCTTGGTCGACCAAAGGGGCACTGTTTAAGATACTTGTGGCAAACAAGGGAGACTACATCTCCATGCATCTTTGTGTAAACCAATTCGAAGCGAAGAAACTACTCAAATTGAAAGTCACAGCAAGCTCATGGCTTAAAACTCATATCTTAGGGGCTCTCCCAAAGCTGAACATCGATAGCATTATGGTAAGCATCAGTGGACACCATTCACTCCTTTCCACCTTGGCCTCAATCAATGCTTCTCGCAAGACCTTTGGTGTTGAGAGTAGTATGAGGATCTCAGTCATGTTCTCCCTCTCAAACCTCAAGACCTTGCACAGGACACATCCTAAGACCCTTCACAGGCTGATGCATATTTTGAAGAATTTGGAGTCTCCTATAGTAGTAGAAGCTCTTGTAGATGGAGAGCAGAGCTCAGGAGAGGACTTTGTTCAATCGACTATCGAGAGGGCTTTCTCTGTGTGCACCGATTTGGCTTCCCTTGATGTCCCTATCATTCTAATTGTGAGAAGCTCTGTAACCCCTAGTGAAGTTGAAATAGGTAAATTTTTTGATACAGTGATGAAGATCTTCAAGAATGATTCTGTGCGAAGAAGGATTGTCGGACTATTCATTTGCATATCGCATCTTAGGCAACATGGACAGAAGACATTAGATTGGCAAGAGCAACTGTTCCCTCCCTTGCATAGAGAACTCCTGAACCATGGCCGAGAACTTGTCACTGCACCCAAAGTGACACTCCATGATACCTTAAATCCCATAACAAATCCTTTCACATCACCGATTACAATCCCTTCCACAAACCCAACACCTGCAGTAGTCACTGTACCTTCCACCAATCCGATCACAGTTTTCCCCACAAATCCAACCATGTCACCGGTCACCATTCCACCTATGAATCCAGTAAGCACACCAATCACAGTCCCTGCAACAAATCCTTTCCTAACTCCAGCAACGACACCGGTAGTGCCTGTGACAAATCCTACTACAACACCAGTAACATACCCCATGAACCCTCCTATGACCAACCCTGTAAGTACCTATCCATTTACACCACCGGTGAGTACACCTTCTATAACACCACCAGTCACTGTGCCAAGCACAGTCCCCATCACACCAGCAGTTACAGGGCAGACATGGTGTGTGGCCAAGACCGGAACCACGGATGCCGCACTCCAGCTTGCACTGGATTATGCTTGTGGAATTGGAGGTGCGGACTGCACAGCAATTCAGTCAACAGGAAGCTGCTTCAATCCAGATAGCCTTCAGGCTCATGCTTCATATGCCTTTAACAGCTACTATCAGAAGAATCCTGTGGGAACAAGCTGTGATTTTGGAGGAGCAGCCATGCTGGTCACTGTTAATCCAAGTAAGATTTATTTTCGATTTCATTATAGTATCATTGAGATGTAGTTGAAAAACTATGACATGTAAAAGGTCAGCTAACTTGACAGAACAGTAATTACTGGTTTAAGGTAATTAAAGTAGTGTAAATTGATAGAAAGATCAGCCAACCTTATTTCTTATGGAAGTGGCTAACAAATGATGGAATATAGGTAGCCATTTTTAATCAGTAATAATCTTAGAATATCACACTAATGCAGTCGTATAAATATCTTGGCAGGCTCAGCAACTTGCATTTATCCATCATCATCATCATCATCATCGTCGTCATCAAGGTATAACCTCAACTTTTAGATTATGTTCTTCGTCTTTAGAGTTACGTATCCTGGCTCACCATGATCGATGCATCTTCATTTAATGTGCAGTTCTATTCCTAGTTACAATCCTGCATCCAGCAGCTCAGGTTCAACCCCAGGTTCAGGTTCAGGTTCATCTGTGCTGAATGCGAACAACCCCGCCGGCTCCAATTCTGTATTTGGTTCAAACAACCCAACAGGCACTGTCAGCAATGCACTCTGTCTAACTGTTACTTGGACCTTCTTACTGGTTTTGCTTACGGTAACCTGTATCAGTCACACCATCGTGTAGATTTCTAGTTTCAGCCCTTCAGTAGCTGCTGTATGCATATGTCTGATCGACGCGTAGAGATCAGTTAGGAAGTTCATTGTGGATAGGAACTGAGTAGTTCATTATGACTAAAAAATAGTACTTGTTGATTTGTTTGGATTCTGCATAGCATTTCACTTCCAAGTAAGGCTGGAGAACATGTCCAATCTCAAAATGGTAAGGAATTGCAGTGGTGGAGCCTGGCATGGAACCTACAGATTCAAATCCAAGTTTAATGTATTGCATTATCTCTCTGATCACCGAATGGGAGAGACAACAAGTTTAATTTAGTTCTCTAATTTCGTGGGCCTTTTCACATATCAAGGTTTAGATGAGCTATTACCAGATGCTTCTCCATGTAGGGCAAGTAGTATCTAAAACCACAAACCCGAGCTTTCTCTGAGAAGGTAAAATGAAAGGAAAGAGAAAAAGAAAAAGATACAGAAAACAGGGGATTTAGGAACTGAGATGACTACATGAATGCAACCAAAAATGTTCATATGCTAACTTTCTTGGAAAATTCTCCATCCATAAAAAATCCAATGCATTTCAGTTTAATAGAACCTGCGGCATGTTTCCAGGTGTTCTTATACCCTAAAGCATAAGAGCCTTCTTAAAGCATCCAAAGCACAAAGAAGAAGTAGCAAATGCAGCAGAAGTTCCAGCAGCTTTGTCTCAATAAATTGGATGAAGACCTATGAGTATGGCGAGGCGATTTAACACCATGAGTCTTTCTTTTTGGAAGAACTTTGAGAGAGAAGGGCAGTTAACTAAAGGGTTCAAAAAAAAAAAGGCATAAATTTCAACAACAATGACGAGCCATAAATCTCATCTTCTTTTTTTTTTTTTGCTATTGAGTTTTGTACAAAACAATGTTTTTAAACGAGCCAGAAACATACAACTAACTGTTTATTTATAATTTTTAATAAGATAGTTTTAAGTTTCATTTTACCTTTCACACTGTCAACGTCACTTGTCTCATCTCGTCTAATTACATTAGAGATCTCTTCAATTTCAGAAGCCGCTTTACCACCATAAGAAATGGAACAAAGATAGAACACTCGTATGTCTCAGCTGTACCAGTCCAGAAAGAGAATGGAGAACGTGAGGACAAATAAGAAAAGAAGAAGAAAAGTTCTGCTGCTGCTGTTGCGCTTGATGGCCTGAGACAGTTCCTTGTTACCTTGCTCCACATTGTTTGTAGCTTCAACTGCCTAAGAACCACAGACAAAAAGGGTCAGAGTTGACTTTGAATGGATGGAACAACAGAATCAAAAAACAAGATATACAAGTATGCAAGAACAATTGACTGTGATGATGACAAGGTTGCAGTGTGTATCTCTATCATCGGGAAAAAACTCTGCTTGTATGTATGTATGTCATCATATTGTACTCATGTTGCTAAAAAGCACTGGCAATTTTAAGATTTTGTCCAAGATTTTGCCAGTTTTATGGGTTAAAAAAACAAGCCAGTGATATCTCTCCCAAGGATGAGCTGCTCATCCTCTCTCATATGGTCATTCTTAGGTGAATGATGCCGGTGGCATTAAACATCTAGCAACCATTTGATATCAACAACCACGAGACATAATTTAATGTGAATCAGTTTAGTCTCCAAGAACCCACTATCCAATTCATCCAATTGGCTCCAATCCCATAATTAGTTGGCCAATCTGAGAAATTGCTTCCAGTTTTCTACAACTTGCACCAAGAAGCTCCACAAAGCTTCAGTGCTATACAATTCCTCATGAAATAGGTAATCTGACCATCCGCATGAGGTTGATCAGCTGAAGTGAATATTCAGCATGGCTACCCAAAGGTTACCTTCAGCATGGCTACCCAAACAACGCTATTTAACATTGCTTATATGGCTGACAGACAGTAGTGCATTTATATTTACTCCAGCTTTCGAAATAACAAACTTATGGCTGGCGTTCAACAAAATTTTGTCATGCTACATGCTAAATGACATGTGTCTTGACAACCAAACAAAATCAGGAAATATACACAGCAGTTATCATGCGAAACCATGATAAAATTTAAAAATAAGAAGCTCACAGGAAGCAGTTTTTTTTTCTTTCCAGGATCAACACATGTAAAACACGCATCCAGTTGAAACAAGTACCAGAACTGATAAAAGTATATAGGCAGTCATCCTAATTGCTAGCTAACCGTCAGAGTCAAAAGCATATTGAAAAGTCTAACCATATATAAAATGTATACAGACCTGTTCATACAGATGTTCAATCTGTTCTGCCTGTTGTAGAACATGAGTTGACATGAGATGACTCAATACTGATATCTCTACCGTCTTAGTCTCTGCTTCTTGTACAGCATCAAGGAGGCTGCTCAATTCCACCTGATCAATGAAGATTAAAATAGAATTAACATATACCAAAACATGTTTCAGGGCACCCCCCAGAGCTACTGGTACAGTAAAATTAGTGTTGCTTCTGCATATAGATTGGTTACTTGAAGAGCTCGTGTTTCGTCATCCATAAGTTGATCTTGCACTCTCAAGGCCCTTGAGGTTGGCTCCTGTCCTCCAAGCTCAGGAAGAGAGGATGCAGAGGGTTCAGACAGTTGTTCTGAAGAAGTTGAGTGGATAACTCTGTTAATCTTCCTTCTTGGCATAGCTCTGTTGAGAGCCTCCTGAGAACGTATAGATCTGAGCCGGTCAAACTGAACACTGACAGAATGGAGCCGCTCACTGAGAATTAAAACCTGCAGCAAGGATGATGATTAGGGAAAGATTATCATGATTTAGAGAATATGACAAAAGAACATAACGAATGTTAAGATAGCCTTGCCTCACAGAAAAGAAATCAGAATCTGGTACAAAAAAGTTTCTCAAAATAAATTGACATGAAAGCTTTGGATCGTAAAGTCATACTATATCATTATGAGTTGCTCAAGTTTTTCAGAAATAAAAATAAAATATAAGTACCTTAAAGATCCTTAATAAAATAACCTTTGAGTCAGTTGTCAGTAACAAATCAAGAGATATTTAGCTACAATAGCTCAATAAGACATTAATAAAGATTAGATACTGTCACATATTTTTAAGAGCAATTTTATAGCTTCATTTTCTTCATTGTTCTATCATTTCAGATAATGTAAGAGAGAGACCACACTAATGTGGGAAAGTTGAGAAAATCAAAGTGTTGGATGAAAATAAATGGTGGACCTAGATGATAAAGCCTATGGAACCAAGATGAGCTTTTCTGCATTATTATACAAGATCAGGTTACATAAGTGTCGGCAACAACAATAATTTTAACCATAAAAAGTGAGCACATGGATAACAGAAATAGCACAGAATAGGGATGCAAATAGGTAAAATTGAGTACTAGATTAGAAAATAGAGGAACAGAAGAATAGAGACAATAAGCCACAATCCTAGACACTCTTTTCATATCACACCACTACATAAGTATTCTATCCAAACAACAGTAAGTTCATAGTTCATACCACACCATGCTTGTGAGCCACTACATCTGCATTGATATTATCATCCCTTCGGTGAAGCCACGATTTTGTGTTTGTACTCTTCTCTTCGGTGCATATCATATTCTGAAGGATATTTATCTGGTCCCTGCAAGATTTTACAAAAATAACAACCTGGAAAGGAAAAACTTATCAAGAAAAAGAAAATATTACAATAAGCACAAAACATAGTGCATGCACCACAAATACACAGAGAATAGAAAATAATAAAAGAGAAATGAGCTAATTTAACAGTGGCCTTGAGAAGACTGTTCCGATGAAAAAAAACCTATTCAGCAAAGCAGTCCACAATTGAAGAAGAATTATTTTCCAGACTCATGAGCATTAACAACAAATTGTGATGCATCCTTCTCAGTTTATTTCTCCCTTATGCCCTTCTTTTATAGATAAAATATGTCATTTTAATTATGAAGAAAGCTAAAATGGTCACAGCTGGTAAAAATGGATAGAAAATGAAGTCACGATAACTCACTTCATGTTCAATGTTGTCTCTCTCTTGTTCAGTGATTCGGTGCATATCCACATAATCTTTCCGATGCTTAATGATAAAGCATTCCAGTTCTGAAATACTTTCAAGCTAGAAACAAGAAAAATGTCAAAGTTTCCATCGATCATAAAGGTTTCATATGTAACGATTAACAAACATCTCAGAGCAGAAAGCAAACAAGGAAAGAGACTCAGCAGTTTCACATACCGTCTTGAGTGCCGCTTTTGTGAAAGGAGATTTCTCTACGGGCTTATGCAAGATGAAAGATGCCAAGACTGCAGCCAATTTAGACTGCCAAATACAATAAGCAATCAAAAGCAGATTTGTCAAAAATGAGGTGCTTCCTAAATCTCATGTGATTATATAAGCACCTAATATTATTATAACAGCTATTGATTTATCTAAAATTATTCCAAATGCAACAAAGTATAAAACTCTGAAACAGAATCACTTGAAAAAACAGTGTTGCTGAAACAGTATTTGAGTCTAAGATGATGTGTGCATAATTACCAAGAAGCAACCATTTCCAACGTGTTATAAGGAGAAAATATTCCATTAATATTTAAACTAAAGCTGTGAACTCCAATGCATTAACAGAAAGCATGAACCTGAGATGTTTTGGAACTATTGACCTACCTCATTATACCCAAGAGATGGAGCAGTAGCACGGATAGCATCCTTGAAATCATCTGTTCTATCCCTACTTTTGGCCATTGCATAACCATCTAATGGCCGATGTAAAGAACGATGCTTTTCCTAACCAGTGTTTTAAACTTTCTTTGCATTTGCTGCAAGAAATAAAAGGACTCTTTAAGAGTCAATCACGAATGAAGACTTAGGTAACGCACAAAAACTCCACATAATATTATATATAGTATACTCAACAACAGTATTGTGGTGCTAGGCGCCAAGGTTCCAAAAGCCTGAGGCACTAGGCGCTCTTCTAGGCGCTTACTTGCCCAAGTGCAATGAGACCCTTGTCAATATACAAATTATTAAAAAAAACATAATTAAAGAAAGAGAGAGAGAGAGAGAGAGAGAGAGAGAGAGAGAGAGAGATAAAAATTAGACAAAATACATGAACTTCATATCATTTTATATTCAATATATCACCGCTAAAATTTCGAATTTCATTCATTAAACCATTTATAAGGCATGAAAGTAGTGCATCGTTCAAATCTAACAACAAAAATAACAAAGCCGAAGAATATCAACATAAGGATTGTCCAAGAATAATTAACAAAAGTTGACTATTATTAACAATAATTAATATTATTATTAAAGGAAGCGAGATAGGGGGCGGTCGGTGATTGAAAGAAGCAGACAAAGGAACGCCATCGGGGGCAGATGGAGGGAGGGCTGTCGGAGGAAGAGCAGAGAGAGAGAGGGGGGTGGGGCGGGGTGGAGGGAGAGGGGGAGGGTAGCTGTCGGGAGGCGGCGGCTCTGCCGGAAGAAGCAAAGGGCGGCGACAGGGGACGACGTCCCTGCCGGGAAGAAGCATAGAGAAGCGCCTGAGAGGAAGGAGATGGGGGAGGAGGAGAAGGATACGGGGGAGGGGGGCTGGCTGCATCTTACTCTAGCCTTGAATCCACTGCTTTAAGAGAGAGAGAGAGAGAGAGAGAGAGAGAGAGAGAGAGAGAGAGAGGCACCGTCGGGAGGCGCAGCACCGACCGTCTTTGCACGCGCAGGAGGAGGATCGCCGATCGATCCGCTCGGAGTAGGGTTCGGCGTTGTTGAGGGGGAGAGAGAGAGATATAGGGGGAGTGGGGAACAAGTCATCTGGCTGGGTTGAACCGGATCAATCAATTAATTCGATCCATCTCGAGCTCGATCAAAGTCGATTTCGGCCAATCGACCGCCTCGGCCACCCAGCGTCTGGGCTCGCCCACGTGACGGCCGCATGATTACTCTATATTGAATAAGTGATTTCACCGTGATGTACAATTAACAGGTAAATAAAATAATTCGACTCGGACCGGTTTAGATACGTCGTGTTGTCCATCTCGATCCAATCGAGTCAGGTTTGACTTTAAACCGAACCGAGCCAGAAAGAGCGGAGAGGGGGCAATTAGCAAATAGACGTGTGCTTTCAACCCAAGAAATTGATTTACCCAACCATTTATATGATGATGGTATGTATGGATACATCTGATTTGATCCGTCACGGTAGCATTTGATTGATGAAACTTATATCGTCATTTTTTCGATCTATCGTATAATCTCGATTGCTTAAAAATGTTCGTCACATTAATTTTATATGTATATATATATATATATATATATATATATATATATATATATCTTCGTATTATCTTTCTTTTGTATATATATATATATATATATATATATATATATATATATATATATATATATATATATATATA